GTAAATTGTCTTTGGTGGAAACAGCAAAAGTTCTCCGATCTTTTGTTCTTATCGGGATGCTTTACTTACATGAGCTTCTCATTTCCTTATATTGTACCAAATTTCCGTGCTCGGAATTTGATTACAAGTGTAGTTCATACTTCTACACCCATCTCAAATGTCTTTTGTGACGCATTATGCGCCTCTGGGGTCGGGAACATCTGGGTTCACTAGCAGTCTTGTCACAGCAGATATTTGATTTTACTGGTTCTTAAGACGCTGTGGTTCGTTTCTGGAAGTAGTGGGTTCGGTACTTGATGTTCTACACCGCACTACAGTGGTGATTTATGGTGATATCCTACCTCTTTCCTGGCTTTCAGCCGATTTGAATATCATTCGTCAAAATGGATAACTCTGAAGCCAATTGTGTGTTCTTCAAGAAACGCGCCCGTCAAACGATACGGTCAAAGAAAGGTTAGACAGAACGCTTTTGGGCGTATGTGATATTCTAGAATCCTCGTCAAGTGAAGAGGAAATTGAAGTCAAGCGAAGGGCTAAACGTCAAGAATACAGTGGATTGCATCAACAGGTAACAATCCAGCATACTGGTTTCTTTACTTGCTACAGACACCGAACTTTTCCAAGAAATCACGTGGATTATCCGATGATGAAGGGACCAATGAAGTTGCAGTTGCTTACAAAGCTTCACGGTCAATGGTGAGTTTCTGGTATAATTACAGTCACGAGTGTGCCGGTTGTTCTTGTTTCAGGAGTCGCATATCAGTCGTGAGCACTGCGCGACGGCTACATATGAACTTGACGCAGATCATTCTTGCGATGCCCAGGCTATCTTCGAACGAGCCCAAAAGTTGAACAAGGTATTTTATTTCTCCGTTGAAAAATGGTAGTGTATTACTTGTCGTCCAATAGGAGCAGGGTTCCCAGAGGAGCAAAGTTTATATGGGTGTGAACAATTACGCACAGTACATTGAAAAGAAAGACACTGTACTTGGGAACGCATCTAGCGGATTCAATCGGAAGGGTCCGATGAGAGCGCCAACTAATTTACGAGCAACGGTTCGGTGGGACTATCAGCCAGATATCTGTAAGGTAAATCGCGCTTTGTCCGCTTCACATTTATATCACCCTCATTTTCTCGTTAGGATTACAAAGAAACCGGATTTTGTAGCTTTGGTGATAGCTGCAAATTTCTTCACGATCGATCAGACTATAAACACGGCTGGCAAATAGAGCAAGAATTAATGGAAGGAACGTATGGCATTGAAGGCAACGACAATCGCTATGAGATTGGTCATCATTCCTCTGAAGAAGAGGCCCAGGACGAAGATATTCCTTTGCAATGCCTTATTTGTCGCAAGGATTACAAAGACCCTGTGGTTACTACGTAGGTTTGTGATTGGTAGTGCAGTTTTTCTTAGCTCCTTATTTTCAGCTGCAGGCACTACTTTTGTGAAGAATGTGCTTTGAAACGATACAAAAAGACTGCTCGATGTTATGCATGCACGGCAGATACCAAAGGGTTTTTCAAATTTGCCAAAGACTTGTTACCACGCTTGGCGGCCATTCGCGCAAAAAGGAAGAAAGGAAAGGATCATTCCAGTGATGAGGAGGATGATCAGAATACATCATTTCACCGACCGGGACTCCCTCATTCAAATTCCGATCACGCAAACCTCGAAGAAAGTGGGTCCCCGGAATCCGCTGGTATACAGACCGACGACACATCTTCCAAGGTGAAACTTCCTGTCCCATCCGAACCAAAATGGGCTGAACCTGAAACTGTACAGTACTGCGACTCAGACGAAGAGAGTGACTGACAGTTGGCCCTCTTGTATTTATTTGTTCCTATTCAATACACCATGCATTCCAAACACTCTTCTCTTGCGTTTCTTGTCATACTAAGATGTGGCGCTTCAGTGAATGTATACATTATTTCAGGGGTTTCCGTTGGATGGACGACTTGTACTCCATCGTTGGTTGTGACCCAGGGGCCAGTATCGAAGATATCAAATCGTTGGTCAAACAAGCTCGCCTTCGTCTTCATCCGGACAAGAACAGTCTCGACCTACAGAACCCCTCTCACCAAGACTTTCTGGCTCTTGAAAGGGCTTGGAAAATACTACAATGCCCCGAAACTCGCAAGGCTTATGACAGTGCTTACTCTCGGCATAACTTGCTTAAAGACTCAGCTGGACTGCCTGTTCAAGCGGACCTTCGGCTAGATCAACTACAGTTCGAATCCGATAATAGTGCGGATTGTAGCACATCTTTGCTCGGAGTGTACTGGACACAGTGTCGGTGTGGTGGGACCTATGCACTTGATTCAGTAGCTGCACTTTGTAAAGCAAAATTTATCCCATGCACAGATTGTTCACTTGTAGTACGCATCATATATCCCGAAGAGAGTTGATTTTCACTCGTATTATGACAAATAAAACTTGGATTTTCCGTCCTTCCGTTGTTCTTCAGCTGTTTGCCAACGCCAGTATCTTAAAAAACGTAGCTTTTGTTTTACTTTCTCTTCCAACTGTTTACGGCAGTTGTTCAATGTTTGGACGAACCACGACAACTGGAAATGAGCCTACGGACGATGAAATTGGTATGGAACCGCCACCTTTTCAAGCTTCTAATGCCGATAAGGAAGCAACCAGAAAACGGAAGGCGTTGTTTCTTCGTCAAGTTTTGGTGATTGCGGATCGGTTCAGTCGAAATCCAGTGTCTTTCACAATGCTTGCTTCAGCGGTTAGTGCCGGACTTTTTTTCCGTATACTACACTTCGTGCCCCCCCTACAATTTTCGCTCATCTCATTCTCACAGTTGCCTGTGAAGATGGTGAAAATCACATGGGCTGAACTACTAAAAACACTAGAATTGTACAAAAGCATAATTCGTTTGGCTAAGTGAATAAACTATCAGGTTTATCGGGTTTTAAGACATTCAGTCCGTAGCGTCTCTAGCCAACTTGATCGGTGTCAGTCTGAGATTCCTGTTTGTTGGTTAGTGTGGATGACTAACACTTACGATAGATTGGTTAAAGGACCTGTCATCATGTACTCTGGGGTTTGACACCTTTTCCGGTCTATGACATCGTAATGGAATATTCCTTCCGGGTATTGTTCACAGGTTTTGTTGGTCTGTATGCGTTGAGGGGTTCCAGGAAAAGTAGATTGGTTTAGGGGGGAGAGATAAGTGAATCTTACTTTGTTTGGGTTTTGTACTTTTAGACCAAGACCATTTCACTGATAACTGCACACCGGCTTGTGTCATCTCGATTGATCTGAAACCCTCCTCCACATGCTTGCCACTTTTTTATCATTTATTTTTGAAGAGCATGGTCACAAACATAAAAAGTGAGTGCAAGCGATGAATGCGAAAGAGTAACAGGAGAATATGGGAGAAAAGAGAGAAGCGTCTCATTCGAGATCATGCCAAGGGCAGTGCCAGTCTGATGAGGTGAATCCCAAAGTATGTAAAGATTTTGGTATGGGAACACGTGTCTAAGGACCAACAACCAAAGAAAGGACAAACAATGGTGAATGCTCTTCAAGGCGCAGTGTGCGCTAGCACAGTCAAGACTCGCACATCAGGCACAAAGTGACCATCATACTGGGTCTGGTGTGAGGTTAAATGACAAAAATGTACCTTCAACGCCATGTGCCACGCATAAAAGTGTCATAAGTACGCAGGGAGCCCACAATGGCAAGCAAACACAAGTCACTGACTCATGCTTGGACGCTTGGTGACTGCCACTGCCTCGGCCACCAGTCGCTGTCTAAAAATGTCCACGTTTTTCAAATCTGTTCAGTGTCCAGTGCATGTACTGCCATTGTCGAGCCCTTATCTATCGCCTGATATTTATCTACGTTTCTGGGTGGTCTGCTTATGCATCACTTATGCTCACCGATTCTGATGTACAGTTCCCTGGCAGTCTGAACTATATAAACATTCGTCCATTCGTTACATTTCATTTTGTATACACAGTCCCCATCAACCGTAATGCGATCCTTCAAATGCACCATCACAGAACATGAGGTCTTTCCCTTCTGGAATGCGTCTGTAATGTTACCCATATTCACCACCCTTTTAATAACTTCAGATGTCCGTTTTGCATGGGATGACTGCCTCTTCCGACCCGCTTTTTATCGGGTCTTCGTGTTGGGACCAATGCCCATCTTAAACCCACTGGGTATCCACTGTTTTGAAGTCGTTTTTTTGCCTTGAGTTGTGCTGCTCTACAGTGCTCTTACTCCACCGAACATTGCTGATACCATACAAGCATATACCACCTTTGGATGGGCTGATGAGTGGTTTCAGTACACACCACTATCTGTTGGCTTCCGGAAACAGTCGTTTTTGATTTATAGCTCCTTTTATTCTACCTTTTCCATTGCTATATTGGGCTATACGGATACTGTTCTGTTTCGGGATAATCAGTGTGCAACACTTAAGGCAACCTCCTGTTGTTCAGCTCATGTTCTGCCTCGTCTCACTGCCTTCGAAAGGTTTCGGAATCACCAGTTCTACCAACTTAAATGCAATTTGTTTGGGCTTTAGTGGGCATTTGCGAACCGAGTTTGTTTGTTGTTCACCTACGCCACCATGATAAGCGAATCCGGGAAAAGCCGCACAGTTGCTTCCCCCTCAACCCAAGCCCTATTTGAACTGGGTTAGCTCATCAATTTAACCTGGGTTCGCTCATCATAATTGAACTATTTCCAATATGGCTGATGAACCAACAATCTCCCTTGATGATTACCTATGGTTGTTACGGCCTAAAGTTGTCTGTTTTAACCGATAGATCCTTCGAACGACCTCTATATACCGACAAGAAAAACATTTCCGGTCAAATAGCTGAAGAATAGTCCTTAACGTTGTTCACCCAAGGCCTCCTGGCAATGGTACTCAGGCGTATATAATTCTAGCACCTTCCGGAGTGAATATAAGAATCGTTGCGTTTCAATTTTCGATAAATCGATGTTCCAGCTCCCAGTTCTGTGAGGGATTTCCTATACATCGAGCCTATTCCCTCCGAGAGTCATTGCTTGGATACTGTGATGCATATGCTTGCTTACTGAGCCAGATTCATCCCTAACTCACTGTTTTTTTTACGTAGAACATCTTACCAACATGCCGTGTTGTAAAAACACCTTGAGAAATCTGTTTTCGGAAATGTTCGTTTGGTGGTGAGGCTTCCAGTATCGTTCAACTGTAACTTTTCCTGTGCCTAGCTGCCGTGCCACCCGAAGGAAGCAGAGGGCTGGGGAAATCTGTTTTCGGAAATGTTCGTTTGGTGGTGAGGCTTCCAGTATCGTTCAACTGTAACTTTTCCTGTGCCTAGCTGCCGTGCCACCCGAAGGAAGCACGAGGGCTGGGATACTGTCAGGTTGCCCAAGCCTAGACAGAAGTCGAGATGCAGAGGTCAGATTCGAACCACGGACTTTCCGGTCAATAAATTCGTGTTCTAACCACTTGAGCCGTCTTGCCCCGCTTCCAATATCCTTCTAAATAAACAAGATTTTCCTCTTAAAACCACTAGCAACGTCGGTGCTTTATTTCCAGTATGGTTTCTAAATACACTATAGTGGTTGTTCCTCAATACCGATTCAGAGTACTACTAGACCTCTGAAGTTGAATAATTTAGATATTTTTGATATTCTGGCCCAAGCACTTTTCATGGCATGATTTGGCAGTTTTATCGGATGATTGCCGTCAATTCTTTATCGCTTTTCGATGCGCAACCCTGTCATCGTGAAGTGGTCAAATAATAGGTCATCTTGGGCTCATTACTCAGCATACCCTGTGATGCCCATAGGTCAACAGTGAGTGCATCAGAAAATTCAACGCACAATGCAAACGTGACTGACGCGAAGTCGGACCTAAAATGCTTTGTGCAATAGGAGCAGACTTTTAGCTATCTGGGCGTAACAGTTCTGTATTCGTCATGTCGCTTGTTTACTCTTAGCTTTTAACTGCTGGTACCGATTGATTCCCTTTTACTTATGTTCGTAATTTACACTAGATTCCTTGGCTTGAACGCGAACAGTACGATAACATCGCCGTGGAACGCAATGCCAATGGCAATTGTGGCTACATTCTCTGTCCCAATCCACTGGGCGATCAAATCTCTCAAGTTTATCGGATAAACTCCAACACACGTCGCGTATTCGACTTGACACATCGGAAAGTTAGTGATGGTCGTAACTTGTTCATGTTCATCACTGCCAGTGTTGCAGCGTGCTGACATACATGACTCACGTTAACCTCGAATTCAACACGTCTGCTGCTTTTAGTGAGTTTTCTATCCATAGCTGTTACTATTCCCCTCAGCAACGCAGAACTAACTTGGGAAGGAATATGTGACTCATCCGAACTATGGTCGGATTGAATTTGGATGGAAGCTCTTATTCGTTGGAGTTTTTGTTAATCTTTACATATCCACTCTCAGTATATGTTTGTGCTTGGTACTTGCACAATATCTCTCAAAGACAAGGCCTCAGATTCTGTCCCATCAAGGAGGTGGTTCAATTTGGGATAAACGAATGATTTGTCTTGTGGTTGCCGTGCACCTCTATACAATCGTATTTGAAAGACAATCGTTACAAGGAGAGTTGTTAGTTTTCAGGAGTGCCTTACTTGGTTTGTTGACGAGCATCACTTGGTACTTCTATATTCATGTACAGCCCGAAAGCTATCTACCGGGCTTTAGAGAGCTAAGACAAGTTTCCGTCACGGTCGTTGGATCGAAAAAATTGGTATTATCTGTCAACCCTGTCTTCGCACGAAAACCGTAGAACGTTTAGGTAACTTAGCCTTTTACCTAGGTTAGCCTGTCTGTCGGTATAGGACAACCGTTGTGAACGGTTACTTAAATTCATAGATGAGTGTTTGTCGTTAGTTGAAGCTTCTTCGAGTGGCATATGCCATAAAAAAACATAACTTCGAAACTCCAAAGTAGCGAACGGGTATCTTCGTTTTCGAGGGTCGAGTTGGAGCAAATTTCAGAGCTAAAATTCACTGGTTAATTTTGGTCTATTAGAAAACAAACACAGACATATTCGTAACGCACTACTCATAAGGTTACTGAAAATCCATCGACAGCCCACGACCGGCTTCGCCCTTCTTGGGGCTCATCAGGTAGGCGTAGTCCCCGAGTTTCCGTCAACCTTATGTTCTACTTGAAACCGAATTGCACGGAATTAGCAAATACACTCATTTGCAAACTAATTTGGTTTAGCGAGGGCCAGCTGAATCTATCGTTTGTGGTGTTTCCAGGTCGTGGGTTGTCGAAGAATTTCCAGCAAGCTTATGAGTAGTGCAACGATATCGTTGCATATCTTGAATATCCTAGCAACTGGAACATGAGGCGGCCTGGTGCAACATATTCAGTTGCCTGGAGACATCACAAACTAGAGATTCAGCTGGGTTCCAGGTGAGTCTCTCGCAAAACCAAATTAATTTGCAGATGAGTGTATTTCGCTAACAAACACAGGTATTTAATGACTATTTGGGTGTAGATTCTCATACGGACAAACCTCATTATAACTACTCGACATCAAATTGGTTGATTTTTAGCGTGATAAGTTTTACCCGTCTTCACCACTGCCTATAACATTTCACAAGCGCGTCAGCAATTAGGGTTTGTTCGTCCACGAATTATTAAGTTACATTGAATAGGAGGAGGAGCACGTGGTAAACAAACTGACCACTTGATAGTGTGGCGTTTGTTTAAAAAGGATTGGCAGGCGTCGTGGGACCGTGTTTAAGATTTTTTGTGCAGTTCAGGAGGCGCCTCAATTTCTCACGATAATTTAAACACCCAGTCTGTGGAAAATTAAAAAGTGCCACTAATGTATTCCTTTTTTTGACGGTCTTAATAATTGATTGTGCAAATCACTGAGGCATGTTTCCAACTCTTTGTAATCACTGATGTTGTCAACAACAAATTGCTAATTCATTTATTTTGCCTTTTCTCACAGCATTTCTGTTCTGATTGGTGTTATTCGGCCTCCTGTTACGTTAGAAAACAAATCCCCACCGAACCTGGTTGGTGTCGTCCTCACGGAGGCAAAGGAGCTGTAAACTTGACCCTTCTGCCCAAACATGCTCGAAGTAGTCCAGGCAAATTGGTGCTAGATGGTCTCAGACGATTGCATGTGTCAGTTCAAGATGAACCATTTGACAACGAGAGTGATACTGATCAATCAGATTCTAAAGCATCCTCTGTGTCTGATCCTTCCGAATCGGATGTCGTTAGTTCGTACAGTAGTGACTCTAGCGGCGTCAGTAATCCGCCTTCTCCTTTATCGGATGGGGATGCGCAGGAGAGGCGTCTAATTTCCAAGAAGTCCAAAACCAGTAGAGCGGAAACTTCCTGGGGAGTTCGAATCGAGGTACCTAAACACAACTTGGTAATAGAACACTCGCCCTTGCCCAACTCAAGTGAGACCTCTGTTTCACAGCTGCATACTCCTCAACCTGATTATCATGAACAACTGGCTTCCCAAACAGTCTGTCCGAGTTTGTTCACCGCTGTAAGAGTGCGTCTACTCCAATGGATAACAAGCAAGGCTTTCCGCGTACTCACGGGCTCAAAAGTTCCCTTACCCAATGAGTCTGTCGAAGCAGTCAGCCCCACTGCACTCAGTAATGAAGCCTCCAGTTCACCTGTGAGTTAGTTTCATGGTTCGTTGCGTTAATTATTTGCTCGGAGTTTTTCTATCGAGTGTTTTTCGAAAAAAACCACTGCTTGCTTTCTCCAGTCTTTTCGTTCATAAAGCTGTTGACTAGTTGCTCTCTCACTTATTTTGTGCTTTCAGTCCAGTCTTAGGTAATCCACAAATGGAATGGTCTTCGATGGTAGCCGGACTTACATACTCTCGGTTTTCATGCAGAACTGTTGTGGACTTCGTCGAATAACCCAGAGTAAAGAGAGAGGCTCGCTGACCGCCAGGCAGCATGACCTTAAAGGTATTCTTTCAGGTTACATAACCGAGTAGATAGTGAGCAAGCGCCTGACTATCGGAGGGCCACCATAAAGAATGGACTTTTGCCATGATAGCCAGTCTATTGTGAACTAGTGTTCGTGGCACCTTTGTTTCCTGAATTTGTTTCCGTTATTTCCACCCGATGTGGTCACATACAAATTTTGGCACCTTCAAGCTTATCTGCACATTTGCCGACCGTTCTGAGTTTTATATGCTTAAGGATTCTTGCGGTAGATCAGAAGGTTAGTTGATGTGCGTGGAACTTGCTTGATGTTTAGTCAATTGAATGTACTGCATATCCATAAATGCAATCTCGTCGGGATAGTTCAAAGTTCTCGTGTTTTGTGTCTTCACTGCATTTTTTTGCAATCCAATCTGTATAACTTAGCTCGCGAGACCGGTTTTCGGATAATCTCATTCGAGTACTTGAATTTGGCCATAGAAGTCATTAGAGTGACAAGTTAGCAAATTAATCTTGTTTTCTGTACGTGATCTCTAGGCACTTGCAACGACACAATACATAGAAGCTGTAAGCATTAGTAGAAGTCTTTAACGGTGGAAAAAGTTTATAACGCGCGTTACGACCATGTGACTTTGATATGGTCCAATCAGGCAGATATGCCTATGAATGATGAAGATTTAAAGAGGGTACAGTTGGTTCGTAAAATCGTTCAGGAAATTGGAGCATCTTTTTCCTTCTTGATGTGGCAGTCAAGCACCAAATTCCCGCACCGATATACTGTTGTCCTTGATGATAATGAGATCGCCTTAGCTCCCTGTGCTTGGACTGCCGCGATCAAAAACATCCGCAGAGCGGATTCCTTCGCAGGAGCTGGATACAGTCATCTTAAAGTAAAGCAAGTGCAAGCGACCAATAGCTCGAAAGCTTATTCGCCAAAATTCGCTATTGGTGTACTCTAACCCTTCCAGGTCGGTCCCTATTTCTCACGCTTCGTCCCTCTTCGTCGAATCTCTAAGTTTTATCGATCCAGACTGTGTACCTCACTTTTTCTTTCTCACAACCTAGCTTTGAACTGCTTTGACAACCTTTCTTGACCCAGTCACGTGGAGCCTGTACCTCAAGTAAATAGTGGTTCATTTCCCAGCCGAACTTCTTTCTCTGTATAAATCTTAGATTCCCCTACCGCAGAATACCACTCTCATTCTCCTCTCAATGTTAGATCGCATCCATAGAAAGGTAATTCAACTTGCTTCCATCTGACCCCTTACTGGTAATGTTCACTCTCTTCCTCATCTTCAAGATACAGCCTACCTTCCCCTACTCCATGGTTACCTTCACGACAAACGCTTCCCAGAACTTGTATAAATTGTGCCGGTATCCTTCACTTTTTAGTAGTTCCACACGTCCTTGTTCGTTCACTCGCACTTGGCAGCGTGCTTCATTGTTAGAACAATTTTCTCCTCTTCTTCCTACTCTTGAATATTCTGACACTATCTCCCCCTAACGCATATTCACCCTCTGGCAGTCTTCCACTTATCTGGACTCGAGTACACGCGTACCAGTTGAAGCCATCGCAATCGTTTTGTTTTTTGGTCGTTGAGCAGGTGATTTGCAGGGAAACTCATCTCGGGGCCTCTAATGCTAAATAAACTATTCATTATGTAAAGACCGTACTGTTGGGGCCATTTCGCTGCGAGACCTTCACTATCTTCGGTACTCATTTTTCCATGTACGTGGGTTTCTTATTCAAAATTGACATTCACTCAAGCGAGGTTCAGCACTTATTGTCACCGAGAATCAGAACGATCATTTGTTTGTGACACGTTTTCCCAACCAGAAACACCTTTTTTTCTATATTTATTTAGCCACCAGGCGTGCTGCCCTTGCTGGAGTCTGTCTCTGTGGATACAATGCGCCGCCATCTGCTTATGGAGGAACTGATTCCAAGGTCAGTCACTGCTTTTCCCTTGTATTTTTCTGCATATGCGTTGAGCTCATTTTCCCTGAAAGACTTTTAATGGAGACCTCTGCATAGCGCTAATTCCTGATGTCTTTCATACCATTGTTCGCATCTCGTTATTCGAGGCAAGGAAGCAGACACTTCGAAGAGCTTCATGCCAACCGTTTGCGTTGTTACTCGTAGTTTTTGGCGATTAGACACAGGACAAAAGACTGCTAGGAACCGTATGTGTTTTACCTACCACGACCATATATATTTCCACTGGCTACCTTCAGCTAGCAGCCAACCCGGAACCGTGGCACATTCTGTTTTCCATGTGAAAGCATCAGTATTGTTCACAGAAATGAAAATACCCTGATAGGGATTCAAAGGTGTGCGACACTTCGGATTTCTCGTTTTCGCACATTCAGATCGGATTATATTGGTGGCGAGCCGATGATAAGAAACTATCTGAAAAGTACTTGCACTTCAATCCCCAAATATCATTCACTATTTCAGAGTCCGGATTTCAAAACACTCAATATGGATCGGGGCCAGCACTTTCAGTAGAGCTTACATTTAATACCCCCCCCCCACAAGAGGCTTACCGCCGTGTTAGCCTTGTGAGACCCATCCGTTATATTCTTGTGGCGGTTTCCGCCGGGAGGGAAGGGCAAAGGTGGATGTCGGCAGCCTTATCTTGACTGACGGTCCATTGGTCGTCCATCTGGGAAGATGACTAAACCCTTACACTAAATTAGTATAAGCTTGCATAAACTGGCCAGCTGTATTCGTTTTCATAATCCGACGAACAGTCCCATGCTGCTTCGCGGATCACACTTGATTGTGTCTGAGCTGGAGTTACATTCCCGAACAAAAACTCCCAAGAAGTCATCCATGCTGTATCACCATTACCTGACGAAAGTGTCTAACCGCGTCTCCAGGATACGATGCATCCGGTACTAGTCCATCAGTGTTGAGCATACGTGTGTGGGCTGGGTTTCTGAACGTATTGGCTGCTGAGATGTCCACACTTTGTTGGGTGATTGCGGAGAATTCGCAGTTTCCATGACTACCCACCAGGTATCACATGTCTGTCGGAGACCAGACTGCAAAACCTAGGTAGTGCACGAATCCCAGTAGATGGAAAGGACGCTTACTGCTGGTTCCGTATGGTCCCTATGTAGTTGCTTTTGCAATGAGTGTTAGTGCCCACAGTGCACTTATACCTAAACTCAGTTCTTTCAAGAATTGCGATAGCTCGCTTTCAAGACTTTTGGCTGATTCCCGCCTCCTTCCTCTTCAGTTGACTGCACCATGAGAAAAGTTTTTGCAACAATCTGAAATGTGCGGCCGATGGGATATCTGAGCACAATATACTGTCGGCCGCATTCGACTGGAGTGCTCGTGTAAACTAGTCAGATTTCTCCCGCCACATCGTGTGTTCGGTTTGGAATAGCCGTGCGGAAGTGTTGACAAACTTGTCGATCTCGCTAATCGAACCACTTAGTCATTATCAGTACGCACTTTCAGCCCTCAAAACTGCGTTATAACGTCGAACTAGACAACACCCCCTTCGCCTACTCGACGATATCCGGGTGCATCCTCAATTAATGTGGGCATCAAAAAAAATCGTTGATCGCACCGATCAACTGAAATAGGAACGCAAGAGGGTCAGATCGTATACGCGTGCAAGCCACGGTGGAACTCCATCCTTCATTTTGGCGAAATAATATACCCTTCCTAGTATCAAAGTCACCTCATTAGGATACCAAGAGACATAGGGCTAATTCTCTAACAACGCGACTGACAGCATATTGGTTCAATCGCCTGGAGGCCAAATGGTATTGACGAGAGATCAGCGGTAGCAACAATACAAGAAATCTGTGAAGCCGAGCGAATCGTTGTCTGACAAATTGAGTAACCTCAGCAGCAGTGTGAAGACTTGTTTTCCTTATCGTAATAGTGTATATGTAGGGTAATTCATCCAGGTGAATGTTCACCAGAATACGCCTTGAAGAGACAGGGCCTATTGGTTTGCACATATCGGTTGCTCGTTGAGCTATATCTGGGGATTTTCATACAACTCCACAATCTCTCCCACCGGATGGGTCAACGGATAGAGGTCGGACAAGCACAGTCTACTAACCCTCTACAGTGAGGACTGGAATAGATATGGTATCTCGTTTATTGAGAGTAGTAGCCGAACGCCGTTGCCTCGAAATCAGGCTTTCGGACCGAAGGTTTTGATTGAAGGTCATAGCAACCCTCGTGTCTAGAAATTGGGTCCCACGGCACTATCTCAGTCCACGTGCTACCGTGAATTACAAATGCTTTCATGCCACCCCGGTCGTGACATTAGTTGGTTCGCCTTATTTGATGCGGATAAGTGGAAACAGTTGATTGATGGTGGCCCCTATCTTCCTCTGTTATAATACTAATACACTAATACACCAGTGCAGGCTGCACCCGCCCAGATTGTCACACTCGAAATCGTGAAGGTATTCACGACTGAGCGACGTGAGTTGTAATTCAGCATCTTGAATACTTGGCTATTATTAAATGAGGCCTCAACTGAATTTCGACCAAGTCTTTTCTTTATACTAGTGTTCAGATGAGATTACAGGAAAATAGTTTTTTCCCCAAGTCCTCATTCTTTTTTTTCACTCTTCACTAAGTCGTTCTCTCCCCGCCGCTGTATGGCAGTGAAGCACCATCATTTTCTGTTGATGCTGATGACCTGGTAGGATTATGCTTGGTAGGTGATTGAACTAAATTTCCAATACAGTCCGCCTTGTAAAGCCAAGCTCATTTCTGCTGAAAAGCCGTTTATATTTTTGGGGCCATGAGTGGTGCATACTTTTCAGAACACGCACCGGTTCTGTACAGGAGTTAAACAATTCAATGTCCGCTCAACAATGCTGGTAGCTTGTTGTAGCCAGATACATTCATCCACGACACTTTGGATTCACATGACGCAATCTGGCTCTCCGGCTCCTAACAGAAAGCTACACGTGGTTTGTTTCATCTGAGCCGATTACCTGTAGTTTGCAAGTAATGCTGATATTTCCACTTGTAGATCTGTGTAAAAAAAAGTCCGCCTAATTTGAGAGATTGAGAGCATCATACAGCAGTTTCTTTATTGAGATACCGTAGCAGTGTGAATCTCACAGGTTGGAGCTCTCAGCGTTTTAAACGAGCGTTTAAAGCACCACCTTCAAGCTATGAATGATTGATCAGTAGTGATGAACTTACATGTACTATGAAGTACATTGTGCATATCATCGTCGAACCGAATATTTTCTTGTTGACAAGCTTCCCAATTGTTGAATGTCTCGTTGAATGACCACACGCTGTCAATCAGCCAACGCTGTACTGTTTTTGATTCCCTTGAACCGCACATCATCCTGGGTTCTTGAAAAGGATTAATGGTTGCTCAAAACTTCTCGGTTTGTCTGTATACAATGACTTAGCCCGAACGAACTCCCCGTATCCTCAAAGTACCAATAACTTGTATCAAGGTAATTGCCTCGTCCCAACAAAATAACTTGAAATAAAGCAAATCTGTTTCCTTTGTCCACTCCATGGTGAAGTCCCATCGTGAAAATAAAGTGACAGTGGAATGAATTTCGTTGCGGTTTGTCAGTTACCTGTTAATATGAGGGCCAGTTTTTTCTACCCTAATCGACTCGCTTGACAATACCACCCTGTCGAGTGGTGACTGTTTTGTTTGTCAATCAAATGAACATTCTTCCTACTTTCTTGCTCTGGCCTCTATTTATTGTTCAGTTTGTTCGTTCAGTCGGACATGTCGGAGATCTGTTGAGCAAGCGGTCAGCACTTGGATTGGACTATTAGTCTGTTCGTCTCGTGTGCATCCATCTTTCATGATTATATGCCCCACTTGATCACATAGACACGCACCGCGCGGGTTGATAGTCTTTGCGATTTTTGTACACCTGTGGTAGGTGACCTACGATCCGAATAACTCTATCCTGAAAAGAGATCACGTCATGTAAACTCTGCCCCGAATACCAGTCTTTGTTAGTTTCGTCTAGTACTGCTGCCCATTGACCAGTTCTCCTACAGCAGTCCAAGTAAAATCACCCATACCTGAAAAAAAAAACAAATATGAAGCATACTCTTACTGGTCTAAGTACCAGAGCCAATCATTCCTGCGGACAATATCTGTCTAACTGACCATTGCACACTTATCTGTGAGGCCTCATTTTGAAGCCAATTATTAGAGATTGTTTTTAGCAAAGTTTGTCTAGCAATATTTCATTACCGTCACCAAATCTAGGCTAACTAGTGAAAGGTTAAAGCGAGCGGATAGAGGCGTTAGTCTAAATACCTGAGGTCGAAATGCAGTTATAACCGGCGCGCGAACAAGGCGAAACCAGTAGTGGGCTCTTACAGTCAGTCTCGCCAAACTGACCCTGGAGTTGCCTCTACTCCCCAGGTATCGATGCGCGTCAGTAGTTGTTTACCTTCGTAGCATTCCACTACAAAGACGAACTATTGCCCACACGCCAGAGAAAGACGGCTCAGCTTGTATTCTTTGGTACTCTTTGTTTTTTCTGCAGCGTAAATGCTATCCTTTCCAAGATGCATATTTCCAGCCAACCGACGCTGTCCCTGTTGGAAAACGCGGTAACACATTTTCGGTAAGTTGCTGTACATTTTGGCCGTTACTTTACGATCGCGCGAGGTAGCTCAGTGGTTAAAGCACGAACTCACCAACAAAAAGGTTTGTGGTTCAAAACCACCCTTAGACTTCATGAGACATAAATGGAACTTTGCAGCAAACTTAGTTCAGCCACGATCAGTGAAGTGCCGAACGTTTGGCTCCCTACACTCTGGGTTGAAACCAGGTTTTCTATTATTGCAAACTCGAATACCCAGTTCGTTGAGCTCCCACGGCATTGTGGCTAGGTGTCTAGGAGGTCCTAATGTTCGCCCCCTTTTTGGACCGGTAGCTGTCAGTTTCTTCGTAACTGTCATGCAGTTCGAGTGTCAAGTATACAAATATGCCTACTGAACTACGGGTGGTGAAACTGATGCATGACGTATACATGGCTTACGGTCGTTTGGGCGTCCGATGCTGAGTAGTGAGGGAGGGAAGTACATGCTGCAGTTGTTTTTGCGAAAACCACCAGCATCTGAGGGCGGATTGTCCTCATGACGAATACTAGTATGGCGATATTACTAATAATACTATCATAATTAATCTTCCCCAGTTTTTCCTTACTTAGGCCGTACATCAACTGTCCTTGAATTTTCAAATAACCAGTCGCTGAATGCTGATTATTTCAGCATGATGTGTTCTTATTTTTTTTAAAAAAAAATGGAATAGCTGATTCCCAAATGCGCGCTTTAGGTTATTCCAAGTGGGCAATCGTTGTCAGGACAGGCGATACAAAGGTCGTCTGTTGGACAGGGGACTGGTTGCAAGCACCATGGTTCCTTCTGTGGGGACCCCTACGTAGAAGAAACAATTTATACTGCACCGAATATCTCCCTAGCACTCAAAGTTCCTCACAATCGTATTGAACAGTTTCCGGTTCCCAAAATGGCTTACCTCCCCTCCAGGAACACACCGTATTCATGTTTGCCGATCGGTATTCATATTTAGCTGGCATAAGTGATAGGCTAGATTAATGCATTACCTGCGATAGAATCAAGCGCTTGCTGGCTCAATCTAGGATTCAATAGCGCTTGCGTTCTTCATAATTCGATACATGTAATATTAATCGAGGGTAACAAAGTTGGGACATGAGATGAACTAACTCAGGATAGCTCGATATCCATCGAAATCCTGACAGCTGCAGCTGTCAAGTGCCATGACGTTTTCCTCGTTCACTTATTTTTCTTTGTGGCCTATTTTACTAAGTAAAGAAATAATAATTGCTCGGCGCCCAGCTGCTATACTACCCGGGGGAAGCACGAGGTTGGCCAAGTCTAAACAGGAACAGTCGTAATGCAGAGTTTGGACTCGAACCACGGACCTTTCGGTCAGTAAGTTGTTGAGCTGACCTGCACAACAATCACTCATTCGCATAGATCGAGAGAAAAGACTGATGATCATCATACAGACCAACTGTATTGATGTGATACACTTGTTCCATGTTAGGACGTCCCCGCGTTTTTCGATAGAATTTTCACAGTGGTCCAACAGGAATCTTAAAGTCTCTATAGTTAATTGGCTAGTGTGTAATGGGTGTCTAACTAAAATTCGGGCCGTTCGTACCTTAGTATATCTGTTTCTATTTCCACATCCTTGCAGGTTAACAAACAGAAATCTACACATGAGCCGTGTAGAGCGGAGCTTGATTTCGTTGGCTATTTTACGTTTGATGGCCCCGTCGAATTCCCACCTTGCTCCGCTCACTGATGCACAACTGGCGTCTATCTTGGAAACGATGACTACTGAGTCACGTGAAGATTTCCTCAACAATGTCATCCATCCAGTGTACAAACATTTCGATGAAACCTAGTTTTTGTACTGCATATGTTCTGCGGACGGTTCTGTATATAGTAAATAAACTTCAAACGACCGTCCGACTTGTCACCACTGGATCACTCTGGATATGCCACGATTGATGATCAAGAAACAGCTTGTTTTAATGGGAAGCACGGGAGATTTTGAGGTTACCACAAGAACCGTTAACCGATGCTCTGGGGTTCAAACTCACTCTCCTGGTAAGGACAACTCGGTGATACCTCGACCCTCATGCCTTCCTTCGGTCTGCACGTAACTATGTACCGAAGCGATTCAACAGCCAAGTGATCTAAGACTATTCATACCTTTAACAGATTCCTGTTACATTGTCCAGCATATCCTTGTGCTTACTTGGAAGACTTGGCTGGCGCACCATAATCTCCTAATCGGGTTGCGGAATTTCCTCCTCTATCAGGAAAAAAAGCTTGATTCATGCCATTAGCTGAGGAAGAACATACATGGTATGGTCCTTTACCGTGCTCAACATCGTGGGCATTTTTCTCGAGCTCACTGTGAAAGTTAAACTAGAGAACGACTTAGAATAGGACTTTAACCCCCCGGACGCTGTCTGTCCACCTGTGGTGAGTCAAGTTGAGCCCTGATGGCTACCTGCGGTGCCAGTTGTTGACGCCGCCTGATGGTCCCGGGAACTTGACTCTCCATACAAAGACGGGAGTATCTTTTGGCCCGCGTGTATCACAGCAGGCCACGAGATGCACCGTACAGTGTGAGTCCAATCGTGATGGGCTCAGCCTTTCTGGCCATCACTAAAAACACTGAAGTGTCATGATCCCTATCAATCATACGGTAGAGCTGTGCGGTCGCTATTCCATCCGAATTTCCCAGGTCTTTAAGCGATTACATCATGAGGAACGAGTTGTTTCTTATCCTCGAAGGTGAAACGAAAGTCGTTCAGTCGAAAGAACACAGCACTGCTAAAGTAAAGCTGTTGGCTGTTTTCGGTATAGGGAACGGCGTCGTCGAAAAATGATAAAGCCGCGGGTCTTCGCATGCTGTTTTCTGAGTGTATACTCGTAGGTCGTGTGGGTCTCAGTTCGCGCTGGCAAACGTAAAAGGCATGTCTCTGTCACCGAACGTCCAAGCCTAGTGTATCACTCAATTAAAACGCTCCGGCCTAAAACAATGACCACATTCAGACCGGTTATCAAGTAGGCTCCATCTTCAGCAAGACAAATAAATCGTTTCGAAAACTCAGGCATGGAGAAATACCAGCGTCGACAATTGAGCTCAATCTCATCCAATTGGGAGCTCCGGTTGTGTTTTGTCAGAATACGTGACTGGGGTGGAAATCAACCTCGCTATCTCTGGACTAAGTTCGTCTGAAAATGTGACATTTTGCCAACATCGGTTAATCGGATAATTTCTGAAAATGATCAGGCCAACAACTTGAAGGACGGCTAAAAAGGTGATGAGTAACAGCAGATTCAGTCTGAGACCATGGAAAGTGTCACCCTGTTGCGGGTGAACGATACAGTGACGGGATCAGAATGAATATTCCGCCGAGTAGTTAAAACAAACAGATGGTACGAGAATGACATTTTCTTCAATCAGTGGACAATAAAATAGAGTCAGGAGCGAAGCTGTATATCGTATTTGTGAGTGGAAATGAAATCAAGTAATCAGCGAGAGTGGTTCTTCCAAACTGGGTAACCAGCTGCACAGCGAATCATCGGTGACGGCCAACAGGATGCAGTAGTGTTCGAACAGTTGTTGTGCGACTTCCACATCGTCCAGAATCTCAACTCGTTCGACTCTGAAGTAAACAGAAAAGAATGTGACTGACGAGATCCATAAGGTTGTGAACTTACGAGGTCGCTAACATTCGTCTGACATCCACAAACAGAGAGAAATTCTGGGGTTCCTGAGCTTACTTCCATTCAACTTGTGATTGAATAAATGTGGCATTAACGCACAACGTACGTAATCGCGTTTGGCTAAATTGCTGGTCAGTATGGTGATATTTTTTTCGCGGCAAATTTCTGTGCCTAAAGATTGGTGGAAGGTGAACTTGGGCAATCAGCAGCTCTTTTACTCTGCACACCTACCCAAAAAGTTTTCAATGACAAGTTTGGAACCACGCCGCAGGGTACGATTGACTTTATGGTAATATATCGAATCTGCTATTCTATATATAATGCCTAAGGGCAACCCCAAAAAGTATAGAAAACGCTTTCACGTGTCCTTCCGAGGAGAACCGACCCAATGCCTTTTCCAGAGGACAGGCGTTGTCCAAGATACCCTTATAAAGCCTGCAATAAAACGGATGAGCTGTTGGTCTCCCTGGTATAGGGATTTATCAACGTCCGCCTTGAGGTGTTCCGAGGGGCGAGCTGTTCCCTTCAAGGTTGTGAAATTCAATAAAAGCTCAAGGGGGACCGACAAAAATTCATTCCTTGAGATAGAGGAAAAATAGAAACTATATTTATCTCATTGCTGCTCCATGTGCTCAACCAAATTCACACCATTCTCTATAGTGGCTGAGCATCATTTATTCCGCCTCACAGCACGAGCAACCCAAGTGTCTCAGAGATTCCAGTTGGTACAGATCGATGAGTGCTCTGTCTGCCTCCCCGGCAAGCCATATAAATTCTTACAGGCCGATACAGCCAAGAATGTACGATTTAGTTGCGTCTGTGTTACATATGGTGTTCATTTATGACTAAGAGGTGCAACAAAGTGTACTTTGCGGTAAAGCATGAGGTAAAGTATGAAGTTTACTGCAGCAACCAACGGATACGCACCAAGGAGCCTCCGGTGATAGTCCTACCCCTGTCAGGCAAAGGTTGATTCCACCACTCTGAATCGGGCACGGAACACAGTACTCGCTTCGGAAAACGTAGGTTCGACATAGCAGTACATGGCTTAACCAACGCACCTGATTTCGGACACATTCTTCAATGGAGGTCCTCATTGCACAACTGAAAGCTCGCTTTCTAATTGCCTCGTTACGGATAAGACGACAGCAACACACACGAGCTATGGTTCCGAGACAACGATTGTCGACCACCTGAAGAATTCTCACTTCCGCCGCCCGAACAGGCCAAGTCTCAGCTACAAAAGAAAACAGCTCGTGCTGTATCCCAATACACATGTCTTTGAGATTCAGGGATGCACCACTTTGACACCATAGGTGTCTCAAATTAGCAAACGCGACTCGAGCCTTGTAGATTCGGACATTCACCTCATCTGTTGCACTATAGTCAGAACTAAAACAATTTCCTAGATACGCAAAACGCTCCACAACTTCCAGTACCTCTCCCTGGATTGTATCCAGGTGTATCCAGTGACTGCATGTCCAGGAGCATGACCTTACACTTTGTGGATACAAAGTGCATACCAAAGGACAGGATGATTTCGGTCAGTTCATTCAAAAACACCTGCGCCTTTCCCTCCTCTTCGAAGACGAGAACGATATCATTTGTATATTCCAGGTCGACAAGGTCTTCGTTAGCAGCTATTTCAACACCATTGTTTTGGAGACCTTCCACAGTTCGTTTCAGTATTTGATCGATCACGCAATTAAATAGGAATGGAGAGAGTATGCATCCCTGACGGACACCACTGTGTGTACCGAAGCTTTTGGAGAGCTTGCCGTATACTCTTACCTGTCCAAGTCTGTTATTACAAAGAACGTATTATATCCACAAACTTCCGGGGTATTCTTTGATGGGCCAGCGCATCAAGGAAAACAGACCGATCAACCGAGTCGAAATCGCCTTTGAAATTCAGGAACACTAAACTTGTGTGTCGTTTGTACGTATGACGTTGTACTAGCATCTGCGCCCCTGGCATTTCCTTTGCTTTCCGTGTCCACCAGACGGTACGGTCGGCGCGCACGCTCACTATCATTTGACGTCATAATTCGTCGGGCCAAATTTTGTTGGCGGCCGGCGAGGGTATTTCTCCGAGAGTTAAGCAGTTCCACTGTTCGGTCTGATATCCAGTGCTTGAGTGAGTCTGTTAGTGCCGTGCTACAAGCGAAACTCCCAGCACTGTTCAAAGAGGTGGCGATCTCTTCAAGTACAAATTCACATCGGATGGTGAGCATTTGGAACTCTAGAAGATGATTCTGGTAAATTCGTTTAACATCCGGATCTGCCAGTCTTTCACTTGCCAAGCCATTTGTCTGCACCTTACGCGGCTGAGGGAAATGTAGGGAGAAGAGACTACGGACGAGCGCGTGATCAGAGTCCACAAATGTGTTCCAAAACGACCGGCAGTCAGTTATGGATCCGCGCCATCGGTAACTGATGGCAATGTGATTGATTTGAGTTTTTGGTCGGCCTGCCGTTGGAGGACACCAAGTGGCCAGCTAGTACTGCATAAAAACAGCCTGCGATCAGCATACAGCTGAAGCAATCGTTCCCCATTGTCCGTACGTACCGAGTCCAATCCATGTCGACCTCCTAATTGAGTCTCAGATACACTAGGCCTGCCCAATTGTGCATTCATGTCTCCGGGAACCACCGCGATGTCTGAGCTTTTAGTTCGCCGCAGCAGGGCATTTAGGCCGTCGTAAAACCTGTCTTTGATGGCGTCGGAGCTATAGTCAGTTGGGGCGTAGGCAGACACAATAAACAGACATCTATCAACTTGCCGCTTGTGAGACTCCTTCACAGACGTTGCCAGACGAACCGCACAGAGGCGATTATCAACAGGTATCCAGTCGAGTAAGGATACTTCCGCCCCGTGACTTAGCACAATACAAACCCCTACACATCCCGCCGCAGCAGCCTCTGGATCACCAGAGATGCACGTAAAATCGATGCATGACGAATGGAGTCATCAGTCCTAAGTGCTGGGCCTACAAGAAGAGCGACCTGAGTGACGATAACACTTGGGTGCTCAGCTAAGTACATGAATCAACAATGCCAAAACGGCGAGGGACGCTCGAGCCTTTACAGAGTCTGTCACTGGTACCAGAACTAGATCTCTATATCCACAGGCTTCGCTCCAGATCACTTCCTCCGTGTCGTTGAAATCCGCGACATTGATGAAGCAAAAATACAAAGCCATAAAAGCATGCTACGGTAGCCAGAAGCCCAAGGCACTATTTTTACGTTCGCATCACTCTCAATCGAAAAGTCCTGTTGTCCTGACGCAATCATTCTAGTGTGTCCACTCTAAAGGGGGAACGCAGTAAATTTTAGTTGATAACACCTGGCCACCATCATTGAGGGTATGGCATCGGCATCTGACAATGATGCTTCGCTACCACACAACCGTGATTTATTTGAAAGCCTTATTGTGAATAAAAGAATAAAGTGGACGGGGAAGGAAGAGCTTGCCACAATCGTTCCGAGGTGCCTACACCTCCGGACACTGATTCAGGTAATCTGGATAGAAATTGACGACAAGATCGCCACTGACATCGGTTGGCAGCCATGACTTGCAGCGTTTCTAACCAGGCGCAGTGGAGATCACGCAGTCCCCATCCTGGAAGGTGAGTAGCGTGGACAATACCCAAGCGTTTCATAAGCTCCTTCATACCCCTCTGATAGGTCAAGGTTTTCCTGACTTTCCGCTTTCACCCCTGAACTGACAAACCCTCTTCGGCAAACAATAGTTCGGCATGAGCAACACATGGTCTAACGAGTGCATTTACCAGCGGTATACATGTTTTTCGATAGAACTCCCCGTTGCACAACAGAACACTCGCTTTCTAACTGCCGCCAAAGACCTGGAGCCGTCTCCTTTCCGTTGCTCAAACCGAGCAGGCAATGCTGTAAAACAGCCCGGGCTGTTGCCCCAATACACATGTCTTTGAGATTCAGGGATGCACCACTTTGACACCATAGGTGTCTCAAATTAGCAAACGCGACTCGAGCTTGTAGATTCGGGGTCAGTTCATTCAAAAACACCTGCGCCTTTCCCTCCTCTTCGAAGACGAGAACGATATCATTTGTATATTCCAGGTCGACAAGGTCTTCGTTAGCAGCTATTTCAACACCATTGTTTTGGAGACCTTCCACAGTTCGTTTCAGTATTTGATCGATCACGCAATTAAATAGGAATGGAGAGAGTATGCATCCCTGACGGACACCACTGTGTGTACCGAAGCTTTTGGAGAGCTTGCCGTATACTCTTACCTGTCCAAGTCTGTTATTACAAAGAACGTATTATATCCACAAACTTCCGGGGTATTCTTTGATGGGCCAGCGCATCAAGGAAAACAGACCGATCAACCGAGTCGAAATCGCCTTTGAAATTCAGGAACACTAAACTTGTGTGTCGTTTGTACGTATGACGTTGTACTAGCATCTGCGCCCCTGGCATTTCCTTTGCTTTCTGTGTCCACCAGACGGTACGGTCGGCGCGCACGCTCACTATCATTTGACGTCATAATTCGTCGGGCCAAATTTTGTTGGCGGCCGGCGAGGGTATTTCTCCGAGAGTTAAGCAGTTCCACTGTTCGGTCTGATATCCAGTGCTTGAGTGAGTCTGTTAGTGCCGTGCTACAAGCGAAACTCCCAGCACTGTTCAAAGAGGTGGCGATCTCTTCAAGTACAAATTCACATCGGATGGTGAGCATTTGGAACTCTAGAAGATGATTCTGGTAAATTCGTTTAACATCCGGATCTGCCAGTCTTTCACTTGCCAAGCCATTTGTCTGCACCTTACGCGGCTGAGGGAAATGTAGGGAGAAGAGACTACGGACGAGCGCGTGATCAGAGTCCACAAATGTGTTCCAAAACGACCGGCAGTCAGTTATGGATCCGCGCCATCGGTAACTGATGGCAATGTGATTGATTTGAGTTTTTGGTCGGCCTGCCGTTGGAGGACACCAAGTGGCCAGCTAGTACTGCATAAAAACAGCCTGCGATCAGCATACAGCTGAAGCAATCGTTCCCCATTGTCCGTACGTACCGAGTCCAATCCATGTCGACCTCCTAATTGAGTCTCAGATACACTAGGCCTGCCCAATTGTGCATTCATGTCTCCGGGAACCACCGCGATGTCTGAGCTTTTAGTTCGCCGCAGCAGGGCATTTAGGCCGTCGTAAAACCTGTCTTTGATGGCGTCGGAGCTATAGTCAGTTGGGGCGTAGGCAGACACAATAAACAGACATCTATCAACTTGCCGCTTGTGAGACTCCTTCACAGACGTTGCCAGACGAACCGCACAGAGGCGATTATCAACAGGTATCCAGTCGAGTAAGGATACTTCCGCCCCGTGACTTAGCACAATACAAACCCCTACACATCCCGCCGCAGCAGCCTCTGGATCACCAGAGATGCACGTAAAATCGATGCATGACGAATGGAGTCATCAGTCCTAAGTGCTGGGCCTACAAGAAGAGCGACCTGAGTGACGATAACACTTGGGTGCTCAGCTAAGTACATGAATCAACAATGCCAAAACGGCGAGGGACGCTCGAGCCTTTACAGAGTCTGTCACTGGTACCAGAACTAGATCTCTATATCCACAGGCTTCGCTCCAGATCACTTCCTCCGTGTCGTTGAAATCCGCGACATTGATGAAGCAAAAATACAAAGCCATAAAAGCATGCTACGGTAGCCAGAAGCCCAAGGCACTATTTTTACGTTCGCATCACTCTCAATCGAAAAGTCCTGTTGTCCTGACGCAATCATTCTAGTGTGTCCACTCTAAAGGGGGAACGCAGTAAATTTTAGTTTTGCTGTTATTGGAGTTCATCAGCAGTGCGCATCCTTGGCCATGCCAGAGTTTGGACTCCAGACATCCGATATGCGGGGCGAGCGTGTTACCACTACTTCACCAGCGTACACTGAGCGCATGGGAATTATCATGTCTGAACAGGCGAATATGTTCACACTTGACTGATGTGATTGGCTTGTCCGACGACCTAGTGACTGTCCTGCCTGGGTCAAGTGAAGGCTAAAGGTCAACGAAGGCTACCAAATCGATTTCAGCAACCACAGATAACAGTCCGGTAACAACACAATACTTACCGGAGGCGTGTCGCTTTGGGGAAGGCCTTATAAACCTCATTAACAGTCCAAGCTTTTGCTTTCTGCCAGCCAGCATCCAAAAACCTGCAATGAGGAGTGGGAGCAAAGGAAAGACTGCATCATCCTTCATCGCAAAAAATAAACCTCTTGGGCATGAGTGAAAGTCTTCTACGTACAAAACAAATTAAATCGTGCTTCCTTCGGGTGGCATGGAAGCTGGGAACTGAAAGAGTGCTACAGTTGAACGATTTTTTTTCCTTACACTGCATTACTTATGCACTGTGAAATGTTTACCACCCCAACTATGGCTCATCAATCGCAATTGTATAGATTGAATGCTGGCTTGTCTGATGAGACCTGTGCAAACTTATGCTCCAATGCGATTGGGCTACGGATGATACCTAGACAAAGACACTAAATTTTATCAGTTCATTACAATTGCATGTACGAGCATACAAAGCATACATGGTATATCACCCACCGGGTCTCTTGTTGTTTCAAAGACTGACAAGCAGACAATCCAGGGAGATCACAGTCTCTGGCACGAAAATTTTCCACCATTATTTTCCCAAACTGGTCGGCCATGTTTACCTGGGAAAAGGGGGGAGGCAAGAGAAGGAACCGATTTTTTATTCCTATCAGTCGACCTTGAGGATCTCCATGTTGAATGATGCGCATCTTAGAAACATTCGATATCCATTCTCGGTCGCGAGGTGTTGGAAAGCTGAAAACAGTCAGCACAGAAACATAAAATGTCTCGAAAAGGACCCATTGAAGACGGCGAACAAAAATTAGGGTAGGAAGAAGAGTTCTTCGTTGACAATTAAATAACTGACTATGCATTGCAGATCCCCTGGGGTAATGTAAATGAACAAAATGATGGGTTTAGTTTGGCTATACGCGGAATCAGAGGGACTGTCCTACTCAGTTATCGGCTACACTAGTCACTACTGGACTTACTCCACCGATGTTTTTAACAGTAGGGCTTTTTGGGTTATCCGTTGGGTGTTATCACGTTGATCTGACTGGCTTCTAGTTCCGGATGGAGGTCCACCACAACTTTCATAAACCTAACTTTTGTGTGAATCAAACGGCTGTTTGCGCAAGACAGTCAAATATCAGTCAAATTGAGTCTGCGGAACGCTATCACCAACCTTGAAGCAATCTGAGGATAAAGTATAGCTGAAGCTGCTCAAATTGCGCGATTTTTGTTTGTGAATGCACTAGTAATTGCTTAAATAAGGACAACCCACAAAGGAGCAAATGACGTGGATATCTGTTGAACACAATAGCTCTCATGTCTGCCGGGATCCAATGTCAGTCGGTTACGCCGGTTCAACCTCACTGAAAGTTAAAAGTTTAGACCAACTCCAGTTGATTTGGCTATGCAGGTGAAGACGAACAGAGTGCAAATGCATTTTACATGCAACTAGCTACTTAAGGCTAAAGATGAGATCGGGATGTGAAGCCATTTGCACAAACAGAAGATATTCTCAGGCAATCCATGGTTAGTATGGAGATGCAGTAACATACAAACCTGATCGGGTGAGTTCAAACATGAGGATCTCGAACTCCAAGAAGGGCTTCACCTCTCAGGCGACCTTGGACTTTCCCTTACTATCAAATGACAAATATCTGGACCAGTAGCGTAGCTTTTGGTCATAAACTGTTTCATATAAAGCTTGTTACTTCAGTTGTTATGTCCAATTATACCCAACCTCACCGGCCTTGATTTTTTTCCATGGTGCACTTACGTATCCGTGGCACCGAAGTTTTGATACCGATACCTGTTAAAACCAACTCATAAAACCAATTTAACTCTGATAGCCACCTGGAGTTGCGGGCCGTGAAATTGATATACAACTGACGCATTAAACACAGGAGAAATAAACTCGATTAGTTATCCGATGGGACGATTAAGGGACGAACTCGATAGATTTTAGTGAAATTCTTTTCCAAGCTGGGTCGTGCTAATTTAATAATGCAACAGTAACAGAAAAAATGATAATTAATTGTTGGATCACACCAGAACCGAAATTATTGACGAAGAAGTATGCTATCTCTCATGAATTTGTCAAAATAACAGCTCTTTGAAAATAGCGTCTCAAGGAACCTGAAGATAACACACTGATTCAGTTCATGCATCTGTCTACCCTCTGATAAACTGTCGTTTTCAAAGTAGAGGAATTTTCTTATTTCCATGTATCTAGGCGTCTTGAGCTGTCCAGAATCTCTTGACAATCGGATTTGAGTTTCTCTAAACGAAAGGAATTTTAGGCGTTGTTGTTGAAGTGTACACAAAAGGTTTAACACCTTCCGCACGGACAGAGAAAGACGAGATGAACTGGGTACTTGCCTGTTCGTAATGCAAGAAAGCCGAGTGAGGAAAATGAGCAGCTAATCCTTTGATAAGCTGGAAACTTTCTTCAGATGGCATGTACACCAGAACGCACTCAGCTAGAAAAAGGGTTGGCAAATTGCTGTCCAGGCCGATACTGGAGTTTGGTCCACAGAGGTAAGAGATCAATTGGTCGACTGGTCGACGCAAATCGAAAGGGACCAGGGAGTACGTATCTGTGACGAGACTATGCCGATTTTGTGCTTCCAGGACGGTATCTGGTACCGCAGGTGGGTTCATCTTGGATTGTGAGTCGCCCTGTGGTGGTAGATTCATTGCTAAAGAAAAATAAATAAAAGGTTCGTCCCCCTTGATACAAAGCATGAGTAAATGGTGGGTACCGCTAGAAGCAGATGGATAAGGCGAATAGGGGTTGTAACCCCTCAGGTTTTACGACCAGCTTAGACCTCTAAATCCGGGAAAGACAGATCAAGCACGAGTAAACAATACCCAAGAACAAACACCATCGGACAGGAGTCGAATCCCATATGTGGTCTCACATGAACTTTTTTTATTTTGCTGGCATGGCAACTGGCATCATTCTGTATGAATACTTGGTGTAGACGGACTGGCGAACTGAAACCAACATTCTGGTTGGACAGCCTATCCGACTCATTGCTCTTATTTACTTGTGTTGTTACACATCAATGAGATTGAGTTGAGTTATGTTCGACTGAAGTTTTCTCTTAGGAGACTAAATTTTTATAACATCCAGACCAAAAAGAGAATTCCTGGTGTAAGCGACGCGAAGATAACAGAAAAATCTACACCGACACGCACCAATGACCCTCAAAGTGATGACATGCGCAAGTGATCCCAAAATAAGCTTGACATCAGTGTATTCCGTATGCCCAACAGAAAGGGCACTGGATCTCACATAAAAACCACCAAGTAGACTGAGCTTCGTCCTAACTTAGCTGATGGACATTAAAATTCAGTTCACAGCAAACAGGCTGCCAGAATTTTGTGTTCAAAAGGATTCCAACAGGAGTGGAAGGAAGAGGAAAGGTGTAGGAGAGTGGTTAGGTTTTAAAACATTGTTGAATTTGGAAGCAAACTTCAAGACTTGTAGATGGTGACCTGGATGATTCCAAGTAAACATCAGTTGGCCATATCTAGACGTCGAAAACGCCAAGCAAACGGCTAAGTTATTGTTTCTCTTCACTTGCGCTGCACGCAGACGAACAAGGAAAAGTGCAAATTTGCATAAATCACAGAAGAAGCCTTCATACAAGTGATTCCTTTGTAAATGGGTGATTATTACTTTTCAAACTACGAAGCAGCTCATCGAGGGAATGAATGCAGTCCGCATTTTATCATCACACGGTACCTTATGAGTTACCCCGAACGAAAATATCAAGGTCCATAGACACATGAGTCGTAGTGTAATTGGTAATACTGATGAACGATGTTACGCAAGCAGGTACTATTGGCTTCATCCAGTTTACGGCCTCATCACTGTTCATAACTCAGAACGTATATTTTCAAGAAACTCCGTCAAAATCGCCCCATGTTGTCTGTGTAGTCGAACTCGTTCAGATCAACACACCGAACCCCAGAGTAAGTAGTTTGCACCGATTACCAAATAAGTGATGTACGTGGTATCGAGCTAGCACAATATTCTACAGGGTAAGGGCTCATTGTAGTGGTTGAAACTGTTCGACTTTATCGAGACTCGTTTAAGAAGTGCGTGAGTAAGTCATCAATATGACAATATTAGAGAGTGGGATTTTAAATTTTTACAAATTATCGAATGAAGCTGGCCTTAGTTACTTCTCCGCGGCCTGTCTTTTACCGACACGGTGGAAGTCCATATGTTCCACTTCTGGTTACTGTTGGCAATTTATGCAAACCACTTGTGGTGATCACGTCTAGTTCAGTTTTAAAAGTCACAGTCTCATTTCAAATCTACGTGTCATTATGCATTCATCAAAGACGGTTATTTGTCACGCTAGATTGCCCTCTAAAACGATCGCATGATATGCAAAGTTAACAGTTGAAAAAATAATAGCACAGGTTTCCACAATGTGATAGCATAACGAAGACTAATTTAACGGGCCATTACCTGGATGCCACGTTGCGCGGTGGTCAGTAGCAATGAGAAAATCAAGAGTGATTGGTCAAGTAAAAGAGAAAATATCCGGCGTGACTAAAATGGAAGTCAACAGTAGTGGCTTCGATTCACGCTCACTTCTCAGTCATGATAACCGATTTTTAGCGTCGCTAAAAATATGCAATGAAATATAATCACTCAGCTGTGGCATCCTTGTGGTGTACTGCTTCCATGAGAGTCAAAGGAAGCAAAAGAGCTGATACTACCAGGTTGTCCAACCCTAGACAGGAGCAATCGGGAAGCTAGGGTTAGGTTCAAAACGCAAATTTTCCAGCCAATAGCCTCATGCCTTAACTACTGAGCTATCCCTTGTTCCTGTGTCAACGCAACCGTCTGCTGGTTACAGGCTACTATGTTTCGTCGTCTGATCATAATTTGATCTCTCACAGATCGTTTCTACTTTGTGAGCTGTTCAACCGGCGAGTTCCTGAAGTGGGCCCGTCATTATCCGAAGAACATAGCCAAGCAGATATAAAATATAACATGCCATCACCTTGTCCCATGCTTCCCTCAAGCTCGACTTAACGTGCCTACAAAGCTGACTAATAAATAATAAACAATAAAAAAATAATAAAGCAAATAAATGAAAAAATACACAACACGCATGAACTGAAATGGAACGCGTCTAGCTTACCAGCATGTTCTTCAACTTCTCCCAAAAGTTTCTTGCTCCGAATCAACTGAACTTTACGCTGGACGTTGTGTAGCAGATCCACCTCAACGAACTTACGTGGGACTATATCGGCGTCTTTAAGTTGAAAATAGAGTGTGTCTGAGCCAGCACCCAAGTTTACAACCTGACATTCACACCCCAGAGTCTGTTGGGTATAAGTGAGGTTAACCGCAAGTCGGTACTTACCTTGATAAACAGAGTTGTTATGGCCTTAAAAGCTTGAGTTCGAATAAAGTAGCCACGGCTAATTTCTGGAGGTTTTGAAGTTGCAACGGGGCAGAAATAACGCATATATGGATCCTTCCAGTATCCTCTTTTAACAGCGTGAGCTTTGCTATATGTGGCATCATCGTTGGTCGATTGGATCACTCGGTCACTAGGACAAGACATCGTACCATGCTAGATGAACAAGTGAACTCGGCTGAGTAAAATGGGGCGATGTGCTCCGGGACCGAGACCAACGGACCACTGTACGGATGAAGTGGACAATAACAGGGAAACTGAAACCAATAAACCCGGTACGGACGTGATCATCTGGAAGCAAAATGTACGAGATACTCCAAATCGTATAAGGAGGTGCAAAGCTGCACTACATGTCTGACAAATTGAGTGTTAGGAAGACTACGCATTGGACTCAACAGTTTGAGTGCAACAGCGTCATCGGCTGTGACCAAACCATGTCTGTCAGTCCTATTACACACTAATGTTTCTGCTTGTTTCTTTTCATTAGGTTATTCACTAAATGCCAGATTGTTCTGGCCTAGCCAGCAACTGGTGAAAATCGATGCAACCGTTCGCATCACACATTTCGATTTGTATGCTATGAGAAGGTACTCAGTTGGAGGCGCTATGATGGTGGAAAATTTATATACACTAAGAAAAACCAAGTCGTTAGTGATTTCTTCGACAAGTGCATGTAGTCTGGAATATGACACTTGCTTAGTGTAAGTATTCACAAGCCTTACACGCTGTGATACCGTTAAGAATGTTTCTGCCGTCAGTCATCTACACAACGAACTGCAGTTACTGAGAGCCTGGGTGTCGCATGTTTCTAGTGCAGAAATGATCTGTGGCGACCAAAGAATAGTCTTGTTACGCTGCTAACCCAAGCATGCAGCATTATTGTTGCTGTGTAATTTACGCCTAGCCTTACCCATATTTAACCAGCACACCGCAAGCGCTTCTGTACACCGGACAAGAGACCAAGAAACACCGATTCCTAGTGAGTTCTCATCAGAATGCGGTCAACTAGACATTTTTCGTTCGGTAGTCAAGCTCGCCATCAAGACAACCAAGAGGCCATAAATAGTGCAGGGGAAGGGTGTTAGTTGATTGTCGTTAAGCTGAATGTAAACAGAGAGATGGCCAAAATCTCGACCAGGTAGTCCAGATATATGGATTTCAAATCACGATGTCCGATTCGCTGCCGCGAACGCAAGTCCAGGCGATCCTCCGTGTGCTGACCTGTTTAGCGTCCTGCAGTCTATAAGTTCGACGGACTTAGGAAGAAACATATTCATGATGCAGTCATCTCTTACAATCGCCCAGCAGCAGTCCAGAACTCTGCGTGGTACTCCATCAACGACCTCTATGAGATGGCGGTGATTATCCGCATATCAACAGGCATCCCCATTTTCAAAAAGTCATCATTATCATCAAAGACAGCAACATCAGTGTTGGCATTGATGCTTCACTGCCGTACATTGGAACATGTATGACGACGTGTTCCGTAAAAATGGTAATGTGCTTGCATTTCCAGCAAGTACCTAACCGCTGCCTTGCGGTTAGGCTTTTGAGCCAAGGGCTTTGGTTGAGGACTCTAATCGTCCTCCTGTCTAGGTGTGGGCGCCCTGGCAGTATCCCAGCCCTCGTACAACCATGACATACACATTTTCAAAAAGGGTACGCGATCACCGTGTGAGAGCCATCGTTGCATTAGCCCGGTAGCTGTGCCACCTTTCGATTGCTGATCGACTACAGAGAGGCAGATCCGTGAAAACCAAGCAGGATTCTGTCGTGTAAGACGACGGACCAATTACACATACGACCTCTGACAAATTCCGGAACTGCGATGCTGCTTCCGGCACCGCCCATAACGACCGTCTTTCTTGCCTTTGACTTTGTTGGTCATTTGACACTACGGAAGTGTCTATGAAGGAAAAGTGGTCCCTATAAATTCTTGTCCATTCTTAAAGAATTGTACGTCAACTCCCGTAAACGCTTAACTGTTTACGAGAAGCTCTCGCCAGAGTTTGCTACACCAAGTGGTGTCAGACAAGACTATCCTCTCACCTTTCCTGTCCAACTTCGCCACTGATATGATAACGGAAGGCTTGCTCCCAGCTTTTCGTTCCTGCGAGTCGTTCCAGGGTGTTCTCCTACAGATATAGAATATAGAAACTGTGACTCTTTGGGTATGATATCATGGTAATGCGAGCATTATTAGGCAGTTTTGCCTTACGGTTTAGTGTGCGTTTCGTACCTACAAAGTGCAAACGTGCTGCTGCGAGACTGCTTGGGCACAAACATATACCTCATGGGGTCCAGGTGGTTAGATGGCCCAGGTGGTTAGAGCGCGAATTTACTGACCGGAAGGTCCATGGTTCGAACCCAACCTCTGCCTCTCGACTTCTTCTGTCTAGGCTTGGTTAATTTGGCAGTTTCTCAGCCCCGTGCTTCCTTCGAATGGCATGGCAGCTAGGCACCGGAAGGGTGCTACAGCTGAGTGATTTGATTGTTGATCCTTGTCGACCTAAATAACGCAGACGATATCGCCCTCATTTTGAAAACAACGCTAAGTGCAAGCCCTGTTGAATAGACTGACCACCATCTGTTGGTATGCGTCTTGCACCTTCAGGGTGCAAATTCGTGCTTCAGAACGTACAGTGTTTGAACATACCCCGTACGATTAGAGAGGAATTACCGTAGGTTGTGGAGAATTTTATATTCCTTAGTAGTTGTATCAGCTCTGACGGAAGTGTGCCTGATGAAGTCGGTGCAGGAATTTCAAAAGCCCGAATCGCGTTTCCTAATACACGTCACTTGTGGTGTCATAAAGATACATCACTTGGTCTGAAGCGTCGCGTTTACGAGGCTACATTAAGGACTGTGTTGTTGTGTGATTGCGAAACACCACCCCTGAGGACAGATGATGGGGCATCTTCAGGTGTTTGACCACCGATGAATCAGAATCGTTGCCGGTCCCGGATGATATTAAGGGATAAGTAGAAGTCATTAGAAAACGGGTGTCATTGTGCAGTAGATAGTTCAATTGCAGAAAACGTCCAGCATCATCGACCACGACTGCTCGGCCGAGTGCTAGGCATGCAGAAACCCCGTCTACTGAGACGATCGTCGTTCTGCATGAACCATTCAGAATGGTGGAAACCGCGAGTTGACTTGGCAGAAGGGTATGAAGGGGATTACGAGGAGTTTGGGTGTTGTCGGTGTTGTACGCCTTCCAGGATGGTGGCCTCGTGACCCCCCTGCACTTGACTGGAGACCTCGCGAGAAAAAACGTTGGTGGATGTCCGTGGCGTCCGTGCTGTCATTTTTTCCAGACTGTTTGATTAGATGCTTGCAGCGATAAGCATCACCAGGTACCCCCCTTCATCCACTCTCTTTGCACTTTAAAGCTTTAAATATAATTAGACGAACTATATGGTTGTACGGCAGTGATGTTATTGCCTCTGATGATGCTAGAAAGCTAGGAAACGCACAGTCATGCACATCACGAAGACTGCTTGGAGGTCTAAGGGAAGCGGGCCAAAGAAGTTAACCTCTCAGTTTTCAGAACTGTATGTCCCAGCTATCCGACTCAACTAAATGAACGGTGGATGTCGTCAAGAACCACAGACTCTATTGCAACCAGAAAGACCGTACTAGCGACTATGACGGCATACGCAGGATAATCAAGAGCTTGAAGAATGCAAGAGAACGCCGCTGAATTGTGAAGGAGGCTTCAGCTGCAGGCAACTGCCGCGCCCTAATTCAGCTGATTCCATCAATGGCCAGCGAAGCAATATAAGAAGACGGAACGACAGTCCACTCACGAAATTGATGGGTAAACATTTCGGCTGAACTCCTTGAACACAACCTCTGAAGGAACCCAACGAGTCTGAATTGAACACTGACACCGGCCTGCCGTCAACAACACAAGTCCAGTGCCGGATATCACTCCTCCAACGCGAAAGACACCCGCCTGAGTGGTATGCACACCACAGTCTCCAAAAGTGGCGAGGTCCCGGTGAACAGGCTGACGCCTCCACTGCGGAAGATCTGGAACGAAAACAAAGTACCAGAGGAGAAGAGCGCCTTGAATGTCACCGGTCTTCAAGAACGAGTGCAAGAACGCCACGTGAAAACCATTATGGTATCAGAATGGTAGCCGAGGCATCCAAGGTGCTCTCTGGCATTATTTTGCGTGGGTTGATCGATTATCTCGAGAGGAAATCATGAGATATAAGCTGGGTTCCGCCCTGGACGAGGATGCATCAACCGTGTATTTACCCGGATACAAGTTCTTGAACAGCACCGCTCTTTTAAACGTCCCCCATTGGTCGTTCTTGGTGATCCGAAGGCTGCCTATGATGCTTTAGTCAGGAACTTTGGTGGTATCTGGCGATCAAAGATGTGCTTTGCAAGTTTATGCCGCTTACGAGCGCATTGTATGCGAACTTCTGCGGACGGACACGAGTAAACAGCAAGTCTTCGCCTTAGTCCACTAGGTCTAGTGATGTAAGACAAGGCCGTCCTATCTTGCCTTTCCTCTTAAACTTTGTTATTGATGTGCTGCTTGAAATTTCCTCGCCTGCTTCTGAAGCCTCGAGGGTCGAAATGCTCCCGGATCGTTCGCTCACAGGAACTGAGTATGCGAGCAGTATTGGTTTCGGTTATTCAATGGAAGCAATTTTAAATGCTCCTGCTACATGGTTTGGTATGTGGCACACCTGCAAAGTGTAAAGTGCTGCTCATCATCATCAACGATAGCATGACATCAGTGCTCAACACCAATGCTTCACTGCCGTACAGCCATGACTTATTTGAAAGCCTTATTGTAAAGAAAAGAATAAAGGTGGATGGGAGAGGGACTTAGTGCTAGCTTAACACAATCATTCCGAGGTGCCTACACCTCCAGACATTCACTCAGGCAATCTGGACAGAAACTGACAACAAGAACGCCACTGACATCGGTTGGCAGGCATATCTTGTAGTGTCTCCAACCAGGCACAGTGAGGATCACGCGGTCCCCATCCTGGAAGGCGAGTAGCACCGACAGCACCCAAGCGTTTCGTGATCTCCTTCATACTCCTCTGCCAGGTCATGGGTTGGCCACCTCTCTGTTTACGTCACTCCGAATTGGGCATGGAAAACAGTCCTCTCTTCGGCAA